AAAAGATGTCAGCAGTACCCTGTGCTCTTGACAGAGAGTGGATCTCCCTCTCCCAGCTGAAGTCCCAATCTCTGGGCCATTAATGCCCAGGCCGAGGGATAGGGGTCACAGAACTCACCTCCTGAGGGACCTGGCCTGGGACCCTCTGGTCTATAGACTAAGGGGGGTTATGTATGGGGGAGAAGTCCAGGAGCACCACAGAGACCTAATGTCCCTTTCTAAAAGCCCTGTCCAACTTAGGGAGAAATGTTCTTATACTTTAAGCTTTGGCCTGTGAAAATAAAAATGCTACCTCCTTCATCCCTGACAGGGTGTTATTTTAAACTTTACTCATCATTTGTTATTCATTTATTCATCTGATGATTATTAGGCATCTACTATATGCCACTGTAGCCGGCATTACATTGCCCTGCCCACTCAAAGTTGCCCAAAATTCCACTGGTGGTACTAATTTAAAACGTTCCAGCACTTTGAGAAGCCGAAGTGAGAGGACTGTCTGAGCCCAGGGGTTTACGACCAGCCTGGGCAACTTAGTGAGACCTTGTCTCTACAATAAATCACAAAAACTAGCTGGGTGTGGTGGCATGTGTCTGTAGTTCCAGCTACTTGGAAGGCTGAGGCAGAAGGATTGCCTAAGCCCAGCAGGCAGGGGCTGCAGTGGCTATGAGCATGCCACTGCACTCCAGTCTGGGCAACAAGAGTGAGACTTCAACTAAAAAACAAAACAAAAAAAGTTCATATCTATATTATGTAAACATAGATATAAATGGACAAATAACACTGTCTATATAAGATTCTCCACTTCTCACCCAAGTCTTATTTCTAACTTTTCATCATATTTATCCATATATGTATAGGATACCAACAATGTGCTGTCCATTCTCCTAGACACTGGACATACATAAAACACAATCCCAGCCCTGAGGAGCGCCCCCCCATCGGTGTGACAAGGAGGTGACCAGAAAAGTGACTTTGAGGGGCCTCCAGGGAAAGGAGATCAACAGACCAGGAAAGGCAGGCAGAGAGAAGCCACCAGGGATGTGACCCCACCACACTCGGGATGGGATCTGAGCACATCTCTCTCCTCTTGGGGGCTCCCACTCTTTAAATGAGGGACTAGATCAGATCCCCTGGGTCTTTGAATTTCATGGACCAAGAAAATATTTAAAAATCTAATTGAGGCCGGGCTCAGTGGTTCACGCCTATAATCCCAGCACTTTGGGAGGCCGAGGTGAGAGGATTGCCTGAGTCTATGGGTTTGAGACCAGCCTGGGCAAATTGACAAGACCTCTTCTCTACAACTAATCAAAAAATAGCTGGGTGTGGTGGCACACATCTATAGTCCCAGCTACTTGGAAGGCTGAGGTGAAAGGATCGCCTGAGCCCAGCAGGTCAAGGCTGCAGTGGCTGTGAGTGTGCCACTGCACTCTAGCCTGGGTGACAGAGTGGGATTCCAACTCAAAAAAAAACACAAACCAAAAACCGAATTGAGGATTCCATACAGATCACTGACTTTTGATTCCACCAAGTAAGAATTTTTTTTTTAAGGGACAGGGTCTGCTATGTTGTCCAGGCTGGGTTTGAACTTCTGGGCTCAATCTGCCTGCCTTGGTCTCCCAAGTAGTTGGGATTACGCCCCCATCATACTCAGTCCAAGAAAGGACTTTTAAAGAAAAAGCAAAACCAGGTTAATAATTACTATCTGCCACCACCATGATTTCATGAAAGAACCCAAGAAGCAGGAAAAGCATAGTCTCAGAATGAAGGATGTGCCTTTAACTGGGTTTGTTTAGCTGAATAGAAAACACTCTATGTTGTCCTTGTTGTTCTCATTTTGCCCGGTCTAGGTGAGCTCTGTCACCTCTTGGCAAACCCTGGGGACTATGTGACCCGCAGTGCTAATGTCCTGCCATGCTGCACACGACCCACGGAAGCCAGTCCCTAAGCAGTCTCCAAGGCAGAGACAGGCGACTTCTCAGACACAGTGGAAAGAGCATCCACCCCTCAAGGAAAGCCACCCTTTCTCCCTCACCACTTTCCTTACCCTGCAGCTGCTCCCACTTTTTTCTCCTCAAACTCCCTAAAAAGTCATTTCTCTCCCACTGTAGTCTTCATATCTCCAGCCCAGAGGCCACAACCCACCAATCAGCAGGGTACACTCACGAGTGCACACCCCATCTGTCCAAATATGAGGGATGCTGTCGGGTGCTTCCCAGACCCCTTTCAAGCCTCTGGGCGTGCTGTCCGAGGACAGTCTAGCTGTCCCTGCAACCCCATGCAGGCCTCAACTCTGCTGCAAATAGCTGCCGTGACAACAGTCATGTCCCTCCTTGGAGTGACCCACGTCCAATGACCAATGAGGACGTATAGGAACCTGGCCACTTTTGGCCCACACAGGGCAACTTTGAAGGGCTGTTCTAGTTCCAAGCGACCGCAAGGCTGTCCAAGGTGGCCGGGCCTGCACTGCAGCTTGACATCTTACTCCATCCATTCCTGCTTCCTTCCCTGCCTGTCCCAGGTGTTGAACCCCATGGCAGCTCCTGCACACGAGGCCGTGAATCAGTCGGCTTCCGGAACCCACCCAATCTGCGCCATTAGCTCAGCCACCCCAGCCGCAACCAATGGACAACCCTTCCCCTCCACATCCTGTCTGGTTGGGACTTCTGCCACACACACCTTGATGAGCAAACCCTCCAGTCCTGAGACATAGGAATGTAGACTATTTCTTTCTCTTTTAACAAAGACTGACCTTCACTATCATCGTGGAGCAATGGACTCAGGAAGCCAGCTCTGAGCAGCAAAGCTGATCTGTAACCCCTTTGTCTGGGTGGCCCCACTGTCTCTTTCCATGAGGCTACGAACCTCCTAGCACATAGTTGGAAAGCTGCAAGAGCATATGATTTAAGGGGAAATAAAAACTCAGATTTACTAGCTCCAAAATATAGTTCCCATTACGCATTCAGCAGAGGTGGCGGGGTGTTGAGAGAAAGGAGACTTGAACTATTCTGGGCTTCTGTGACTGTTAACATGCTCTCAATGCACAGCCCTGCACTGTGTCAGCACCTGAAGCTCAGCAAATCCCAGCTGCCTTGGAGGAGGAGGCCAGGACAGCAAAGAAAGAAGGTTGCTTTGTGCTTGCATTCTTATTTCTCTGCATTTCTCCCTTTAGGACTCTGGCCAAGGAAGCACAAGACAGAAAAAAGCCCCAGAGGCTGCCACCCCCAAAAAGAACAAAGGCAGAGACCCTTCAGCAGGGACCAAAGTCCAAACAGATGGTGGTGGCCAGTTACAGAGAGGAAACAGGCACACACCCACAGCAAGGGCAGGGGCAGGGGCCCAGGAAGCAGCCCCTCCCCATGGACATGGGCAGGGTTCCCACAAGACCAAGCACACACTTGGAAAATCAGCATACCAGGGACACCAAGCAAAAGATTCAATTTCAGAGTTGATTGCTGATAAACTTATCCAGAAGTTCTCAGTCAGAAAAATCTAGAAAGAAGCACCTTGGATTTCAGCCTACTTAATTTAAGTTTCAAGACGTATGGCTTAGCATTGCCTTTGTTTTGAATTCTATGGGCAGCATGATCTTTTCTGTACTTGAGACCTTTAAAGGTCTTTGCCAGCTCCCAGCTCAGTCATGGAGACAGGAGGCCGTTGGTGGTGGGGGACCGATGAAGCAAGGGGGGGAAACAGAAAAGTAGCTGGGGGGGGACAGTCACGAAGAATCCAGGCTTAGAAAGCCCAGAGGCCACTGTGTCAGGGTTTGCTGGTGAGTGAGAGCCCTCCTCTGCTTTAATGAGGGACATGCCCTGTCCTTCTGAGCCTGCCCCGCCCTCAAGGGCCACACCCCACAGGTGCACACAAGTTCATGAGTATGTATGAGTTTAGCACATCTCTCTTACACACTAGAGGTGCTCAGAAATGCACACACTCACAGTCAATGGCCAAGAGCAGATATCTTTGGGCAGACCTGGAACAGCTTCTTAGGGCTTAAAAATCTGGCCTTGTAACAAAGAGCAGGGAGCTCTGTCTTTGTCCTAAGACAGTGCTTCTCAAAGTGAGGTCCCTGGACCAGCAGTGTCAGCATCACCTGGGAACTGGTTAGAAACGTTCTGGGTTCTGCCTTCTTCCCCTACAGAACCCTGATCTGTCTGGGGGGGAGCCTACCTTGGAACCACAAATCCTGTCATTGTTCTTATGGGTCAACCCCTGTGCTAAATAAACGTTATGCGCTTTATCTCATTTACAACTCCCAAAGTTACCGTGAGATGCAGGCTATTTTTTCCCTATATTTTTCTGATAGGGTAGCCAGAGCTCAAAGGTTAAGAATTGCCAGGAGTCGCCGAGCCTGGCTCAAACTCAGTCTATGCTCGGAACTACTTTCTAGACACAACTCCTGACCCAGGCTGAAAGTAAACACCCATTAAGGACTGCGCCCTCTGTGCCAGCCCCACCCATGCCAGCCCTGCTTCCCCAGGTCCCTCCCTGCCTCAGAAGCCAGTCCTAAATCCTTCAAGAGACAAGGCCAGGCCATCCAAGCAGGGGGTGGGGCGAGGGGCGGGAGCCAGAGCCCCATCTCGTGAGCAGGCAGCACCCCTGCCAAGGCCCCCGCCTGCCCTGTATGGGAGAGCAGTCGGGAAGCCATACCGAGGACTGGCGGCGGGCAGGGTCAGGAGCAGGTCCCAGCCTCCAGTTCGGCCTGCACTCCAGAGCCTGGAGAGACTGCTGCTGCATCGCTGACCGGGGGAATCCAAAGACTCCTGCTGTACGCTCCTCTGATCAGGAATGATTCCTAAAGAGCATTAGGAGAAACCTGGATTCGAGTCCTGACTTGGCACCAACTTCCTCAGGGACCTGGGCTGGTGACTTCCCTCTTGGAATCTCAGTCTTCCATCTCTTCATGGAAGGGGTCAAACTGACAACGTATAAGGATGCTTCCTGCTCTGACACTGTGATTGGAATTCTAGATTCTCACGTGACATTCGAGAAGTTTGGCAGAGAGGAAGGGATCTGAATTGACAATGGCTCTGGACTGGACTGTCTGCACAACCTAATTCATCTTTGCTTGAGACTTAGGAGTGGTCCCAGGCCCCGCTGACACATCTGGCTTCCCACCTGCTCTCTCCCCGCCCCCCTAAGCCCACGCACGGCAGGGGGGAATTTCTCTTCCATAGCAAATCCTAGAGGAACCGGTGAGCCTTGTCCCTTGTCCCAGACTCAGAAGCAGCCATGGGGGCCTGTGACAATGTGATAGACACCAACATCTCATCTGGCCTGGAGATCAATGCCACAGGTATCACAGCCTTCTCCATGCCCAGCTGGCAGCTGACACTGTGGGCCACAGCCTACCTGGTCCTGGTGCTGGTGGCCGTGACGGGCAATGCCACAGTCATGTGGATCATCCTGGCCCATCAGAGGATGCGCACGGTCACCAACTACTTCATCGTCAACCTGGCGCTGGCTGACCTCTGCATGGCCACCTTCAACGCCGCCTTCAACTTTGTCTACGCCAGCCACAACATCTGGTACTTTGGCCGGGCCTTCTGCTACTTTCAGAACTTGTTTCCCATCACAGCCATGTTCGTCAGCATCTACTCCATGACTGCCATCGCCGCTGACAGGCAAGAGGGGCCTCGAGAAAGCTGGGGGAAGCCACCTCACGTTGCTGGGGCTCAGACAGGGGTGGTGACATGCCCTTGGTCACACAGCAAGTTAGAGTAGAACCCAGGAAATCACCTCCCAGACCTGGTCATGACCCAAAACTACGCATCTGGAAGGCAGGGAAAACTGTGATACCAAAGCAGGTAGAGTGAATTTTAGACACAAGGAAGGACTTTGAACTAGACAGGTTGTTCAGGGGGAAGAGTGGCAGTATTTTAGGGACCTTCTAGACTGTTCCCCTCTGAAGTTGATCTTTGTTTTGGTGTCTCTCTTTTGCTGCAAGGAAATTGCTCACACTGCTTTTTCTATTCAGGTAGAGTACATGAGGAAAAATGTTAAGATTGCATGCAGTTTCCATCTAATTATAATAGGGCCAATTATTCTCCCGATGCTGCTCAGGGTTGAGCCTCAGGCTAATTCCGGACACTTGCTCCTGCCCGAGACAGACTTCCAGTGTGGCCACACTACTCTTTTGTGGCCCTCCCAAGGTATGTCCAGGCCCAGTAGACTGAGGTGCCTGGGCTGGGGTTCTAGGGCGCCACTTGCTGTGTTGGGTGAGAGTCTGACATCCTCAGACATCAGCAGCAGCGTGGGGAAGGGCCAGAGGTGTAGGCCTGGGGAGGGGGGAGGAGATGGGGAAGGGTGGCGGCCCAACGGGAGGGTGCCTGCTGCTCACATCCCCCTCTGTTCACAGGTACATGGCCATCGTCCACCCCTTCCAGCCCCGTTTCTCAGGCCCCGGCACCAAGGCAGTGATTGCCGGTATCTGGCTGGTGGCCCTGGCCCTCGCCTTCCCCCAGTGTTTCTACTCCAATGTCATCATGGACGAGGGTGCCACCAAATGTGTGGTGGCCTGGCCCAAAGACAGCGGGGGCAAGACACTCCTCATGTAAGGCCCCAGGTTGTGTGTGTGTGTCCATGTCCATGCATGTGGTGTGTGTGAGTATATACATGCACCTGAGTGTACCTGGGAGTATATGAGTACACCTATCTACTAAAAGTAACACACTAGTGCCAGACCTGTTCCTAGCACTTTATATGAACCCACTTAGTTCTCCTGACAATACGGGGGATGTATTACAATTCTTCCCATTTTTCAGATGAGGAAACTGAGGCACTGAAAAACTGAGTAACATGCCCAGGACCACGCAGCTAATAAATGGGAAAGCAGGGATTCGAATCCAGCAGTCCTTCCTCAGAGCCTAATCCTTTAACCACGCAGCTACTTGAATAAGGATGTGTGTATCCTTGAGAATATGTGTGCATGCGTGTGTGTGTAACTTTATGTGTCCTAGGCACATGCTGCCCCCACTTGTGTCTGTGTGTGCCTATGCCGATGTGTGGGCATGTTTGCTGACGTGTGTGCACGCAGGCACGCATTAGGGAATGCATGTGTAGGCGTGTGCTTGGGGGAGGGCTTTCTATATGCTCAGGCCATAAACGGTCAGGATTTGAAGGCAGAAGGGGACCGTGATGGAGGTACTCACACTGAGGTTGGCACCACAGGCTGGGAGCAGGGAGGGAGGGATAGAAGAACTCAAGCATGGCCCAGCTGCGGTGCGACCCTTGGGGAGTCCTCTCTCCATTCCGGGGCTCAGTTTCCAAGGTTCTCAGAGTGTGCTTTGTAAGCCTAAGCCTTGCCCTGTTGGTTAGCAGAGGATAAAGAACTGGTTGAGGTTTGGAGTCCGTAGCCAGGTCAGAGTAGTCAGGTCAGAGTCGGCCTGTTCTCTCCCGGCTGGAGAGGTTCATACTCACTGAACCTCTCTGAGCCTTTGGCTCCTTCTCTCTGAAACAGAGATTAGTAATAATGCCTTGCAAAAGGGTTGACATGAATAAGACAATGTATGAGACGCTCTTAGCACCATGCCTGGCACAAAACTGGCACCCAATATGTGGTCGTCTAAATAGGGGACAAACAAAACAAAGCTGGAGGTGGCAGATTAGTCCAACAAACTCCCGGCTGCCCCAAGCATGGGGATGTGCATGCCCTGAGCTGAAGGCTGCCAGGTAACCATGACAACAGAGCCCTCCCCTACCTGGTCGCCATCTGTGCTGAGCACCTACCAGGAGAGGGGCTCTACTGTGGCCTTCAGGGCTAGGGAAGGAGCCATTCCGCTGAGAAGCTAATTCCTGGAATAAGCAGGCCCTGCCCAGAGTCCCTGCCCGCACCCTATACCCCACCCTCTCTCCAAGTGTGGTGTCCATATAGGGGAAACGCCCCACTTCCTGACTGAGGGAAGAGTAGAGAGATGAACATATTGGGACTGGCCACTGGAGTGGCAGCACCACTTGGAAGGGGCCCAGCAAGGCTAGCACATGGGGAAGGGGTGGGGGACTTGGGAACACCTCAGCCGTCCTAGTAAGACAGAAAAAGATCACACAAAACGGCAGGGGTCTCAAACCCACCCATGGAATACTCTGAGAGTTCCCACTGTGGGCTTGCTTGGGAGTCAGTTCCCAGCCTGCAGCTTGTCAGTGAGAGGCTGCAGCATCACTCAGAAACTAGGGGCTTGGGGGCATGGGGTGGGGGCGATGCACACATCTCCTTTACACTGTCTTTCCAAAAGGAAATGAAAAGCCTCAGGCTGGGCGAGGTGGCTCATGCCTGTAATCCCAGTACTTTAGGAAGCCAAGGCAAGAGGATTGCTTGAGCCCAGGAGTTAGAGACCAGCCTGGGAAACATAGCGAGACTTCGTCTCTACAAAAAAAGGAAAAAATTACAAGACGTGGTGGCCCACCCATGTAGTCTCAGCTACTCGGGAGGCTGAGGCAGAAGATTTCCTGAGCTGGAGGGTGAGGCTGCGGTGAGCTGAGATCGTGCTACTGCATCCCAGCCTGGGTGACAGGGTGAGACACTGACTCAAATAAGTAAATAAATGATATACTGCAAGTCGATATACTGAAGTATAAGACAACGTACTGTAGCAACAGTTATGTGACTGTGTCTCCACCTCCCAAAATAGCGTGTGCTATACTCACCTGTCCCGGAAGCTCTGTTGACCACGGGTAACTGAGACCAGGAAAAGCAAAGCCCCATAAGGGGTGACTACTGTTCACAGATGATTCTGGGAGAAAAGATGCCAGATTGTTTGGGAGTGGGATAAGTCATTTAACTTCCTTCTGTGTGCTTAATGGTGTTTTATATTTTTAACACATATATTACTCAGTTAACTTTTTTCGTTCCTACTTCCTTTTCTGGTCCGTGTCTATCACAGGAAAAGACGCAGGGCTAATGGCAGTGTCCCTGCTGCAGGGAAAGCCCCCTGTGGGCACACACGCGAGGCAGTGGGCCTTTCTCTTTCCTTAAATCAAAGAGAGAAATGGTGGGCTCGGCGGGGGCGGCTGCCGGGGGCCCGCGGGTTCCCAGGACCGAGCGCAGGCGG